ATTAACTTGAAAACCATGCTATTTCATAACCTGTATTTGAGGTCCCACAGATTTCTCTAACCTTATCATTATTGTTTCTTCAAAATAAATTCCAGCAGAATATACAGCTCAGATTTCCAATAACTAAAAACACATTTGCACTTTTGAGATTTATGAACTCATAAAACACTAGACAGTAATTTCATGAAAGTTTTGGTTGACCTCATTTTTAAGCATTATGCAAGATTAAATTCTCTAATGGCATAACTGTCTTGGAGATCTTTAATATTCTGTCTATGCTTAGCAAATTTACATTGTGCTATACCCCATGTGACCTGTTACACAACATTTTCATATTTAGCAGTGATAGGCATCCTATGCAGAGATCCAAATTTTTCACTGCATAAACAATGTAATATTTAACATACTGTAGCTTTAAGTATTAATGTGTGTATTACAAGAGTGCGTAGTCACAGAAGATACTTTTATGTGTAATATTTTAAAGGATTTCAAAGAACACTTCACTCAATAAGTCTGAGTGATGGCAGAAAAACAATAGAGGGGTTGGAAATTGTATGCCCCCACTGTCTCCATTCTGCTCATATGGAAATAGTAGAGTGGTGTATAAATAATTAGCCCTCCCTTCCTCTCTTCTCCTTATACTTAGCTGTAAGGTCTTCTGCTTTGTTATTCAGGATTTTTTTTTATATAGATGTATAGATTGTGTAAAGGTAAACAGAGTAAGGCTAGGTTCACACCTATGCAGGTTGTGCTTGATGTGTTTCTGCATTGCGTTTTTGACATGTTTTTGATGCGTTTTGCATTTTTTCTTTTTCTTGTTGCTAGACAGATTTTAACTGCAAAACGCATCAAAAATGTGGCAAAAAACAGCAAAAATGCAATAAATGCTTTTCTTCAGTGTTCCCATTGAAGTCCATAGAACCAAAAATGCAACATTTTCCATTCAAAAAAGTCCCTGACCCTTTCCAAAAAACGCACTGGTGAAAATGCAGAGATGTGAACCTGTCCCATAGGAAATCATGTTAAATGGAATGTACCACCTTTTTGCAAAATGCAGAATGCTGCAGAAAACGCTTAAGTGTGAACCTATAGTTAGAGAACAACACAATACTCTGCCTCCCCAGTCTAAACATTGAAAGTGTGATCTCTATAACTTCAAATTGTTGTATGATAGTGAGACGCTTTAATTCAAAACATGTGCAGATCTTGATAAAATGAACATCATTTATATGATGGTCTACAGTTGTGGCAGTTTTTACATAGGCAAGACCAAATAAAAATTTTGGAAAAGAATTTCCAATCATGTATCGACTATTGAGTCAGGGGATATTGTCAGCAGTATTGCCGCCAATAGACTGCAACCGTCATAGAGTGAAGACTTAAACTTTGACTTTTTTCTCGCTCTCTTTAAATTTTCCATTTTTCTTTCTTTTTTTTTTTCCTTTAATCTTTCTTTCCCCCTTTTTACTTTTGTTTCTTTTTTTCTTTTTCTCTTTTTTATTTCCCCCCCTTTTTTTGTTTTTTGTCCTGGCTTCTATAATTACCTGGATGTTGTCCCTCTTGGTGGACATATCCAGAGTGTAATAAGATGGTTATAACAAAGAAATGTTTAGCGAGCGCTACCTTTTATAAAAAGAAAGCATATAATCCAGCCGCTAGAACACCTAAAAGGTACCCAAATAAAACCTCCAGAAAAGTATATGTAAGGGTAAACAGGTTCAGCGCTAGGTGATAATAGATATATATGGTATACACAATATCATACAATTTCGGCAAGTGCAACCAAATAATATCACCATTAGGTGATCATTAGTGGTTAAGTAGTTCAGAGTAATAAAGTGGTGTGGATCACGAAGGATCACAATTCCAGGTGTGTGGGTATCCTGAGCCGGGAGTGACAGATGATGTGATTCAAACAAATGAAATGCACACTCACCAGAAATGCGTTTGTAATACGCAATGTAAAATCTTGCGTCACCAGGTAGCAAATAGATCATCCGTTCCCAAGTCAGGTCCCGTCACAAATCACCATCCAGGCTCATCAGCATAAAGATTCCCTGGTCCGTTATCGTGCATCACCATCTGGGGTCCTCTCTTAACTCTAAATGGGCACTGCGAATGACGGCACTCACACGGAGAGCCCAATGAGAGACCACATAGTGTGATACTGTATAGGTACCTTTATTCCAGATAATGGGTACAATTGATGGTGAAAACATTGCAGGCTTTTTCCTATTTTCTGCAGCTTTTTAAGGGTATGTCTCTTTTCCCTTCTTCTTTTTGAAATTAGATGCCTTTTTTTCTTTATTATTTTTAAATAAATAGTTAGAAACTATATAACCTTAAAGGGATAGTGTCTATTATAGCATTATGGGAAATGTTCTTTGTAAACAATTGGATATACTATTGGCTTGCAGATAGATGAACAGTTTGTATACATTAGGATCCATACAGCCTTACAAGGATAGTGTCTATTACATACTTGGAAAGTATGGGTGCAGTTCAGAGACTCCTGGGCTACCGCGGCATGAATTGATTATATACAAGCCCCCATATACTGTATGCTATCCATTGGCCAGTTCTCCCTGAGGAAGTGGGCTTTTGTCCTGCAAAACATGTGAGAGACGTAAGATCTTCTTTTTGATCAACTGGGAATATACTAATCATACTGGCATGATATGTAACTGCAATTGTGTTGAAATAACAACTGTATGTCTGACATTCATATTTTAACAATTTTTATAACAATGTTTTGTACAATAAAAACATGGGCCTTTTATCTCTAATATTTTTATTTTTTTTTGGTATGGTGCCTCTAAAGTCCTAGTTTTTTTTTTCCATGGTAGGGAATAAGTTACCTTTCAGTGTCTTCTAGTAGAGGATGTGATACCAGTAAAACTGTGGAATAAGTTGAGACCCACATGTCTCCTTTCCAATCTCTCTAGTTTTCCATAAAACAGACCCCTGACACCCCTTGAAATACTTTTATTTCTATCACTTGATGTTGATTATAGGGAATCTTGTATAGTGGAGGAAGAGTTGGAAGGGGACAAGCTGGAAGTAGGAGTAGTGCATGCAGATATTGCTTCCACTGAGCTGCATGGAGCATTCTTATATGTCACAGACATGATATACCCAAATTACAGATCTCATTACCACATGTGAGACACTAGTGACTGTCATGATCGCACGGTCGCTGCCACCAACATGCGACAATCGCACGACCTCGACTAACAGTAATACGTCACGCCCACGGCGTCAGACCCCAGACCTTCTCACCAACTCGTGACCGAAGGACCGGCCGATCTAAAACCGCGGTGTGACACGCGTAACAAGGCCCCACCCAGCTGCACCCTGCACAGCGATTGTCCAGCTAATGGGCTACAATCGGTGCCTGCAGCTTGAATGCGCTTGTTACTGGGTCGGGTTAATTACGCAACTAACCCTCTACTGCCACCACCACTTTTGTCGGAGACTGGGAAACTCCCGTTATCAAATATACACTATAATGATTGAAAAGTCGCCTGTCCAATACGGTCACCGCAGGCCGATTGGGCAGAGGATTAAACAAACACAGTAGCGTCTCTTCAAAGGCAGGAATTCATGAATTGCAAGTAAGCGCTTAGAACAGCGGTTCTCAACCTTTGGGTCGCGACCCCTTTGGGGGTCGAACGACCATTTCACAGGGGTCGCCTAAGACCATCGGAAAACACATATTTCCGATGGTCTTAGGAACCGAGACACCGCTTCTCTATCTGTCTCAGGCGATGTGTGGGCGTGATGACATGCTGCTCCTGTCACCTGGCCACACCTCCGGGATCACTCAACAGCTTCGCCTCCTCGCCGGTGATTGGCCACCGGAACTGTAGCTCAGGAGAGGCACACAGGCGGCGAATCACCGGCGAGGAGGTGGAGCTTGGAGAGGAGGAGCCGAGCGGCAGCTCGCGTAGATCAAAGAAGACTGAGTAAGGGAGCTGCCGGAGCGAGTGAAGAGGAGAGCGGCCAGAGAAGGAAGGCAGCTGATCGGTAAGTGTTTGTACCGTGCAAATTTTGTTGCTGCTGTAGATGGGAGAGGGAGGGAGCGAGCCCAGGCTGGAGCAGGGGTCAGCAAGGTAAGTATCATTGGTGTCAGTGGGAGGAATAGTGCCCCATCATTGGTGTCACTAATACCAATGATGGGGCACTATTTCTCCCACACATACACCAACAATGAGGCACTATTCCTCCCCACACTGACACCAATGATGGGGCACTATTCCTCCCCCCACTGACACCAACGATGGGACACTATTCCTCCCCCCACTGACACCAAGGATGGGGCACTATTCCTTCCCCCACTGACACCAAGGATGGGGCACTATTCCTCCCCCCACTGACACCAAGGATGGGGCACTATTCCTCCCCCCACTGACAGCAAGGATGGGGCACTATTCCTTCCCCCACTGACACCAAGGATGGGGCACTATTCCTCCCCCCACTGACACCAAGGATGGGGCACTATTCCTCCCCCCACTGACACCAACAATGGGGCACTATTCCTCCCCCCACTGACACCAAGGATGGGGCACTATTCCTCCCCCCACCAACACCAACGATGGGACACTATTTCCCCCCCCCCACTGACACCAATGATGGGGAACTATTCCCCCCCCAACCCCAATGATGGGGCACTATTCCCCCCCACCACCACACTGACATCAATGATGGGGCACTATTCCTCCCACACTGACACCAATGATGGGGCACTATTCCTCACACTGATACCAATTAAGGGGCACTATTCCTCCCACTGACACCAATGATGTGGCACTATTCCTCCCACTGATACCAATGATGGGACACTATTCCTCCCACAGACACCAATGATGGGACACTATTCCTCCCACAGACACCAATGATGGGCACTATTCCTCCCACTGACACCAATGATGGGGCACTATTCCTCCCACTGATACCAATGAAGGGGCACTATTCCTGCCACTGATACCAAAGATGGGACACTATTCCTCCCACTGATACCAATGAAGGGGCACTATTCCTCCCACTGATACCAAAGATGGGACACTATTCCTCCCACTGATACCAATGATGGGACACTATTCCTCCCACTGATACCAATGATGGGGCACTATTCCTCCCACTGATACCAATGAAGGGGCACTATTCCTCCCACAGACACCAATGATGGGACACTATTCCTCCCACAGACACCTTGATGGGACATTATTCCTCCCACAGACACCAATGATGGGACACTATTGCTCCCACAGACATCAATGCTGGGACACTATTCCTCCCACTGACATCAGTGATGTGGCACTACTCCTCCCACTGACACCAATGATGGGGCACTATTCCCCCCCCCCACACACACACACTGACATCAATGATGGGGCACTATTCCTCCCACACTGACACCAATGATGGGGCACTATTCCTCCCACTGAAACCAACGATGGAACACTATTCCTCCCACTGACATCAGTGATGTGGCACTATTCCTCCCACTGACATCAGTGATGGGGCACTATTCCTCCCACTGACACCAACGATGTGGCACTATTCCTCCCACTGATACCAACGATGGGACACTATTCATCCCACTGACATCAGTGATGTGGTGCTAGTCCTCCGACTGCAAAATTACAGTTATGAAGTAGAAACAAAACTAATTTTATGGTTGGGGTCACCACAACATGAGGAACTGTATTAAAGGGTCGCGGCATTAGAAAGGTTGAGAACCACTGGCTTAGAAACAGTTTAACACTTTCAGAAAGAAAGATTTATTACTAAAAGAGTCAAACAGGTGCAATAAAATATTTACAAAGAGATGTCACGAAAATATATATATGCATATAAAGGTACAGCAAAGAGATAATAGGAAGGAAGTTACAGGGTTAAGTTACTTGCCCATATGCCTTGTTTTGCAGATCCAAGTTGCAGAGCACGAAGGTTCTTTGATCTCCTTGTTCGATGTTAAGCTGAGGAGATGTGTAAAAAACTAACTTTCAGGCTTGCAGCCTGTCCTTTTTGAAAATCCCTCTGAAAGGGGGGTTGCTCTGACTACGCTGTGTTGGGAGGGGTCAGGAGAACTCTGAATTGGAACCAACATCTGTCATAATCCATGACATGAAACATCGGGGAAAAGCCGGACTTGAGGAATGTTCAATTTTCTTTCAAGTCCGGGGAGAAGCTGTCTTATCTGTTTTTAGGATGGGTGAGCCTACACAAGTTTCTCAGGTCAGTGCTTTTAAGTGAGAAAGGTTACACTTCCGCAGATGGCCAGGCACCGGACTGAGGATGCCTTAACTTGGGTTGACCCACCGCCATCTGTCACTCAGGAAGGGAGGGGGTAGGGAGTGAATAATCGAGGAATACCTCAAATAAAAAGAAAAGAAAAAGGAAAAGGGGAACTCTGCATACAACTCTGATGAGCAAGTTTGCTACAGTGACAAATACTGCTAATGACTATGTTGCTTTCTGCAGAAAATCTTACGCTATCAGGTCCGTACATCATGCTGCAGCCACTGGGATTGTGTCTACATCTGACAAGCAGACTCCTACCAGATGGAAGCATTCGGGGGGCTGTGCTGTCATCCAATTGCTTCCACACAACCTCAGTAACAGCACCCCCCACCCCCGTGTATGCCCCCACCATGTTTTTGGGCTCCGCTTTCCCATTTGTGGGCCTGGGACCAGCATAGTGGGTTACTCCGGGTAGAGGGGAGGGAACAGAGCAGACACACATCCACTATTTTCCCCTTCTTGTAAAACATCACTTCCGGGTACACATGTCAGTGCCCCTGGCCAGTGGAGCACAATAATCTAGTGCAGTGGAGCACAGGGGAGAACCTGTCACCAAAAATCGTCACACAGGGGATTTTTGTCCCCTATGTGAGGAAAAAAAGTTAAGTAAAAAATAAAAGTTACACCCAAGCACATGAAACTTTTTTTTGAGGCCCCTTACCCCCACATGTGTGTATTAATGTTAATGTACGTGGGGCACCTATGAATAAAAATGTTTATTGCGATACACATGTTACATATCTCCGCACACGCCGGAGTGACAGCAATATTTCTAGTACCAGATGTACTCTGTATTGCAAAACTGATGACCTATGGGGGGCTTTGAAAGCGTCACCTATGGAAAATATAGGGTACTTAAGTTTGTCTCCGTTTCACGGGTGCATGTACATTTTTGCATGTTGGGTATCTGTTTACTCAGTACAAGCCTCGTATTTTATATTTAACCAAAAAATGGGTAACTTTTTTGTTTGCCCTAAATTTAACTAGCGTACTTATTGTTGAAATTTTGAGTTTCCTAGGCCTTTGTGGTAATATTCTGTGACATACAATATTGCAACTACCACTTTATTCTCTAGGGTGTCTGCTTTCAGAAAATATATAATGTTTTGGGGGTTTATGCAATTTTCAGGCCTAAAAATGAGTTTTTTTTAAACATGCAAAAAAGGCTCTGGCAGTGAAAAGGCTAAATAGGTTGACACAGCTGAGCAGGATTGGAGGATAACATTGGCCTGCACCAGAGAAACTCTAGCATCTGGTGGAATAGGGGGCTGCCCACTCCACTTCTCTGGGTGTGGCCCCTGAATGACATCCTGCCTTGCAGATGTTGTGCCTATCTCTCACTATCTGCATCCCCTATCTGGAACCTTGGTATGATGGAGACCATCATCATCATCATCATCCCCCATTGCTGAAGCAGTGGCTACAGAAAAATCAGATCCAATTGGTTCTCCGTGCCCTGTTGTCCCCTCCCTCTGTGCTCCTCTTTCTCTTCTCTTAAACATGAAGAAACAATGAGTTGCTGCGCATCCACTTGCGGCAACTGGCTGGTGCTCTGCTTTAATAAATCAGTCAATTTTTCTGTGTAAGTCTGTGGAGCACTGGCGGGAGAAGTTGTGGATGAGAAGAAAGAACAGGACCTTTTGCAGCTGAAGATAACGTCACAGTTCTCTGGGCCTGGGAGACAGGGGAGGATGATGAAGACTTGGTTATCTACTTTACTACCTCCTCTGCGTGCTCTGGATGCTCTGAATACTGCCTGATAAGCCCACACATGCTTTGCCTTTTGATGCTGCACCCTGACTACTGATTTGGCCCTACGGATACATATGCTGCTCACCTCCTGATAGCTACACAGGATCTTCTGCCTTTCACTACTTTTATTAACAAGCATGGGAAGACATGTATAGGGAATGTGGTGTTTTATTAAAAAAAAAAAAAAAAGTGTGCTGTTTTACAGGACTAAACTGCACCACAATAGTATGTGGTGCTCTGCTGAAAACAAAGGACAGCTTTTGGAGTTTCACCAATAGAAGAATTTACATTTGTACCTTCAGGGAAGACACCTATGTTACACCACATAAAAATCGGTAGCCTGGGCTTCTGTAATTCCAGTGACTTTTGTGATGACACATCCTCCTGAGCATGGATTTGGCTTTGGTTGGTGGATGGTGGGAAATGGTGAGATACTCCCATATAATTGGATTGTTTTTAGTTATTGCTACTTAATTCCATCTGTTTTTCCTGAATAGGAGGAGAAAAAAAAATCCTGTCAGGTGTAGTGCCAACGGGGGATGAATGCGGACTAGACAAGCACCATAAAATAATATGGGATTCCTCTTTAGGGACTGTTTTTTTTTCTATGACATAAAGTACTGTAAAAGATACATGTGATATACCAGTTGCTACAATGTCTTTTAAATTTACAATGTAAATAAAATGTTGTATTTTTACTACTATAAATGTGTTACTGCCTTTAATGTTCCAGAGACAATGTAGATTTTGTTAGATATCTATGGGGGGATGTTGGCAGTTTGAAGGTGTGGCTACTGTACCACTGTTATCTGTTGCTTTTTAACCACTTGCACTCCAGAGGATTTACCCCCCTTCCTGACCAGGCCATTTTTTGAGATACGGCGCTACGTTACTTTAACTGACAATTGCGCGGTCATGCAATGCTGCACACTCACATTAAATTTATGTCCTTTTTTCCCACAAATGGAGCTTTCTTTTGGAGATATTTGATTGCCTGTGCATTTTTATTTTTTGTGCTATAAACAGAAAAAAGACTGACAATTTTGAAAAAAAACACACCAAGTCTGTATCTTTAAAAGAAGTTACTTGTGCTTGGTGTGCCATACTTCCTCCATGTTAGTGGGCCTACATTTACTTGGAGCATGTGGTCTGTGCTTTTTCATGAATACAACTTTGTCTACAGTGCCTTTAGATTAATACAGTATCTGGCTAAAATATAGATCTGACAGCTGGTAGCTGCTGTTGTTGATTATGCAGCAACATTACTGTTGGGAAATGATGACTTGTTCAAAGTTAATCGCCTAAAACTGCATGGATAGAGATATGCATCTGTGAGCTTTAAGCAAGTCTAGATTTTGTCACAGTTTAATCATTTTCAGTTCACCATTGCTAGTATGAAACCATCTTTCTGAAATTTGTTGGTGATGTGTTTCTATTACAAACACCCAAGTCACTTCATATTTCTTTTTTGTAATAAATGATCTTTTATGCTGCAATTTCTCTGTAGATCTATATACAAAAATCTTTCAAATGCTATGTCAGGTTTCAATTGCAATGTATCAGTTAATAAAAGAGTCGCAGAAAAATGAAAGTGTTTCCAAGATTGGGGGAACTTAATATATATCAAGTCTATGAGTTCTAGTCTGCAAGGTCTCTCTATTTTCTGCTAGCGCTGATGATCAATGCATCATGGATAAACAGGTCCAGGGACAATAATATCTTTTATCAATTCATGTCAGCCTTGTATTTTTTTTTTTTTTTTTTTTAGGGAGGAGGGGGGTTATTCTGCTTACAGTGTAAAATGGCAAAATACAATCTTCGCTTTACTGATCTCAAAGCTAATTGCATTGCGTTTAGCATGCATTGACATGCATAAATGAACTTGAATTAACCTATGTTGATATGTTTTCTTTTATTACATTATGGTGCATTGATATGCATTATTTTCCACAGCAGAATCCAAAATGCTTTATTTTGTTTTTCTAATGCTAGCTGCAGTGCTCTGTGAACACTTTTAAATGCAACACGTTCTCTTTTCACCCAGTGTACATCAATGCAATCCAATGCCGTGAACTGGACCTATTGGAAACAATCGATCTCAGCATGCCATTGTGTTGTGCTGAGCATTGCAGTCCACCAGCCCAACAGACACAGCCCCTAGTCCAGATGATATTTCCACTTTGCAAAATAAAATGAACTGAACTGCTATATATTTCTCTGCAGAGAGCTACCCCCACATGTTCATACAGGGCTGCTGTTAGAAATCACATGGCCCCATACAACCAACCTGACAGGGCCCCCTCCCCACAAAAACACAGGTTACTTTGCTTCAGTTATGAATGAACACAGTGAGTGATCAGTACCGATCACTCATTGTGTTTATTCAGGAAGGAAAGGGGCTGGTA